AGAACATGTGAAGCCAAGGTGAGTCTGAAGGTAAAACCCCAAATTGCAGTATTCAACCATTGTGCACAAAAAATGCCGATAGTGATGAGATGCCACCACTATGGTAATGTTCAGATAGGAGCTAACTACAACAAATTTGAATATCCACAATCCCAGTAAAAAATGTCAACTCAGATTGAGAAATTAGTAACTTGTGAACCTTTGAGAATCTAGGTATTGATATAGACAAGAGAAATCAATGACTGGACACCAACCTCCTGTCTTCTTAGACCCAACAACCAATAGGAATGAAACCCTGGAAGGAGTAGCATGAATTTCTCACTACCCCCAGAGCAACCAAACTATGACAGCCATAGAACTAAGTTCCAAATCCCGAGGATCTGCAGGAAATGGAAACCCTGCAGGTTGGGTGGATAATAGTGGGAAAGATGTAAACTGAATGACTACTCCTGACACAAAGACCTGTAGTGCTCCTGGATCCATGGTTAAGGTTAGCACATCCAGAAATTCTCAGAGCCGAGCCCCCACAGACTCTGAAGACATACAATAATCACCGACGTCACTGGCAGCAATCTGACCGAGTAGCAGAATCCTTGGATGTAGACAGAATCTATTCTTGGTACCAATGTACAAAGGGGCTGATGTTGGAACCCTTGAATAGGGGCAGAACTACGACCCTTTGTAGGAGCTGATGAAATTTGAGACGCCAGTGACAACAGGGATGATTGTAGAAGCCAACAATCAAAACAATGTTCAAGCTAACAACGGTTCCAGCTTGTCATCAATGAGGTTAGTGATCCTGAGAGTCTTCCAACAAAGTATAGTATAAGAAAAAAAACGTTGGATTTTAGAGTTCTAAGTCTGTAGACTTCCCCTGTCCCACCAAGGGACATTAATCTATTCAGGTTAACTACAACCTCCGGCTTAGAACCCCTAAATTTGAGAAGCAGATGTATTACTTGAGAGTTGGAATATGCTTCCATGAAGTTCCGACAACCGTGTTGAATAAGGTATAAGTGTCCCATGTGAACCAATGTGCATGCTAACTTTAGTTCCAGCTCATCATCATCAATGAAGTTGGTGATGCTGAGAGTCTTCCAACAAAGCATAGTATAAGGAAAACAAAATGTTGGATTTTAGAGTTGTAAGTCCGTAAACTTTCCTTGTCCCACAAGGGTACATTGATCTCTTCATGTTAACTAAATACTCCACCTTAGAATCCAGGAGCAGATGTATTATTTGAGAGTCAGAATATGCTTCCAAGAAGTTCCAACAACTGTCGGATAAGGCATAACTATCCCTTCATGTAACTAAGAAGTAACCTTCCTGCATGAGCCACAATGTCCTTGGATAGAGTGAAAACTAAATATTCGTTCCCAAACCTTTCAGCCATCAAGTAAGGTGCAGGCTCAAAAGTAACTGGGGAAACACCCAAAATATCCTACCCTCAATGAATTAACTGAAGGAAATAAATCAAAGGCAGCATATCCCAAAGTGGCCTCATTTTTTTTGGAACAACATTTAGTCAGATAAGTTTGTTTTGTTAGAGCAAAGCAACGTTGGGCTATCTGCTGTGTCCACTATAGGGAATCAAACCCTGGATTCCAGCATTGCAAGTCTGTAAATTCACCACTGCTCCAAAGGGAGACTGAAAAGCCAACAGACTAAAAGAAGGTGCAGAAAAAGGCAAATCTAAATTATCTCTAGAATGTCAAAGATCACCCTCATTTGCAGCCTCAGACCCCCCAGGGGAACACCACGGAACCGAATATATGCCTCCACCTCACTACAAATAAGATCACTAATTGTCTAAACCAAGAATGACCCCCACACACACACACTTGTTGTGCGATGCTAGATATCTGTGGTGTGATACAAGAGACCTGAACTGCCTCCCTGCTGGAAATAATAATCTGGAAATTCATACTGTATTCATACTATATATATATATATATATATGTCCTCAAGAAATTAATGTTGCATTTTAGAACACTTTCATTAACCCGACCCCCCAAAAATGTACATCACGTATAATAGTTAAACGAAATGCCTAAACGTCACATTAGTATAGCCTATATTATGTATAG